GGAACCATGAACCTCTTCGCATCTGAGGTATATACAATAAAGTGGCCTTTTCTGCCAAAGATGTGCTGCTCACGTTTGAATCAAGTTCCGCATCAGTCTATGCCCCAATCCTTCTGGCCAACGCAGCCACCTTTCGCCACTTCTTTGCCATCTCAATCAGCTTCTTGGAGTTCACCATTGTTGATATCTCGATATCACTCTATTTCGAATTCTACTTTTCTGTGTCTGTGTCTGTGGTGGGATGAGTAGTAGGGCACCTGCGTACTTATAGAAATTTGGAGCGGACCCATGATAAGCTGTAGAAATTTGTTCGCAGTTTGGAAGAGGAAACAAAGCCATGTGCTTCGTACGTAAGATGCTGCGATTTGAAGAAAGATGTTTGGGTTCGGTTAGGGAGTTGCTTTCCACAGTATCAGACATAAGTTAATGCCTAGTGAACAATTTTCCTCTAGTTCCTGGCAATATTGTAGGACATGCCGGGTCCAGCCAACTTCTTCACCATTTCTTTCCATTCTCTTAGATAATCCATGCTCCAAGCAGAGCTAAATGTCATGATTAGGTGAGCAGTGATTCTAGTGAAGTCTATATTTTGGAACATTAGGGGGAAGATAGTTCACGTGCTAAGTAGGGGTGGAGGTTGCATGTCTGAACTTTGCTGATGCTTCAATTCGTGGATGGTAATTTGGATGGGAATCCTTGTGTAATGTGTCTCTCAATGGACCCTTCGGTTTAAAAACTGAATGCAGCTCATAGATTTCAGAGATGTATATCGATCATACTGCTGGTTAGGAGGTCCTGGAAGGGCTGTGGAGTGCATCCTTTACCTTTGGTTTTTGGAGTTATTACTTACTAAGATTACTGTGAATTGTGTCTTATGCATTCTCTCATATTTCTTGCACCCTGGCAAAGCTTCGTAGCCACCTACGTAGCTGTTGTTGTTATAACTTTGAAAACTTTGGTAAGTGGAGACGCTAGTCTTTTTGGGAGACTGTGCTTGTATATTCCTTTTGTCCAAAACTTCTGTTTTTCTTTTAGAATTTTTGGTGAAGTCTTTAGACTACTGGTGCAGTATATAATTTCAGAAAGGACAACTTATTTTCCTGTTCTGAAACTCCTGAACACAAGATGGGTACTCTTTTGAACTTCTGATAGGTGGAAGACTGAACTGATATCTTCTTTAGGTGGAACCAAATAGTTGAATTTAACAGAGGGTAGTTGAGAGAGGGAAGACAAATGGTTTAACAATGAGTTAGAAATTCGGAGAAAACGTGCATATGCATGTAGTATGTGCCGCTTCCTTGCTTATATATCATGCTTTCGTATTTATTGACAGGTGATGCTATGTAGCAATATATGTAACTGTGTTGAAAATATTGGATATTGGGCTCGAGATGCGTTCAAATAGAATCCTTATTACCTCTCTAACTGCAACTTACGACTTTGCGGATATAACACAGTCTCTACACCCGCTCACTAATGCTTAGTTTCAATTGTCTTTGTGGTTGCTTGCTTGATGCAAAAGCACCCTCGCCACTCCTACTTCTAGTGGTCGGACGAGCCGAAGTTATACTGAGAAGTTATACTGAGAGGCTTCTCTATTTACGACATCATGTTTGCTTCTGCTTTCTTTGTTTTATCCAGAACTCTTTATAAAATCAAGTATATTGTTACTGCCTATACTTCTAGAAAACAGAGATCTTCTTTCTTTTTCTGAAATACCAAAAGTAAGTATATGCGTGATGGAACTCGAACGGAAACTTATCTTTTTTACTGGAATGTGAACTTCAGATAGATGAAAGTGAGGTAAATTGGTGTACCCTTTAGGTGACATCATGTGACATCATATGTCTACAGCTTTAAGCAATTGAGACTGATAATGGAAGTTCTACAAAGTAATATTGTTTCTTATCTCCAAGTATCAAGTTTGGAGATTAATCTAGGGAATTAGGGCTGATGTTTCAGGCTAAACATCTGACAAACTTTAATGAAATATTAAGAAAATTCACCATGAAACATCACTCTCTTATTAATTGATTTGTCAATAAGCTAATGTTTATCTAAAATCCAACTACACAACTACTTACAAAGAATGAGAAATTTTAGAAGCTACAAACACCTTTTTGATTTAACACTATAAGGCGAGAAGAGCATGGGGAACGTCGATGCTTGAGTACATTATCTCACAACACCCTGTCCATAGATTTAGACCCTCGTCTTCTGAGCAAAGAACATGCACTGTAATTCTGAACTCCAAATAGTTAGGTGGAATTAAGTTGTAGCATAAAGCAGTTGAGAATTACATTGGAATATTTCTAGGTATTGTTTTCTTTTTATCTCCTTACACCATATTTTTGGGGGTTAATCTAGGGAATTAGGCCTGTTGTTTAGAGACTAAACAACTAACAAATTTTATAAACAATTAAGAAAATTGTCCACGGAACATCACTTCCGTAATAAATTTGTCAATCAACATTATCTAATATTTAATTACACAAGTATCACTGACTACAATGAATCTGAACATTCAGAAGCTACAAACTACTTGTTGATTCAACCCCACAGTTTGCGAAGAGCAAGGAGAATGACGGTGCCTGAATACAGTGTCTAACAACACCCTATCCATAGCTTTAGACCCTCGTCTTCTTAGCAAAGATAGAATATACTCCATGAACACTGCATCACAAGGCAATATGATAGGACCATCACTTGGTAGCCCATGCTCATCTTCAGACATCTTTAAGAGCTCTACAAAAATAATGCTCTCCAAAAATCTCAAGGGAACCATGAACCTCTTCGCATCTGAGGTGTATACAATAAAGTGGCCTTTTTCTGCAACTGGTGTACTGCAAGCATTGGAATCTAATTTAGCATCAGCCTGGGTTGAGGAGACCCTTTTGCCCAAGGCAGCTGCCTTTCTCCATTTTCTCGCCATCTCAACGATCTTCTTGGAGTTTACCATTGTTGAATGTAGATATCAAAGTTGGAGAAGAAATAGTTTGATTTCTAGACTGTGAAGCTGTGTGTTTGATGAGAAGAGTTGCAGTGTGGTCGTATACTTATAGGAATAGAGAGTGGCCCCATGACAAGCTGTAGGAGTTTGTATGGAAGTTAGGAGAGGAAACAGAGCCATGTGCTTCGTACATGAGAAGATGAGATTTGAAGTAAGATGTTTGGATTTGGTTGGGAAGTTGTTTTCGATAGTATAAGACACTAGTCACTGACTGCTAAACCATTTTCTTATCTCCAATTCTTGGTAGTGCTATAAGACATGCCGGGTCATGCAAGAGGAGCTAAATGCCGGAGTTATGGTATTGCTTCACTTCATGAGCTGGGCACGGATTTTAATCCGAAGGGCCATCATTTGTGTTATAATGTCTCTGTCGATGGACCCCTTCGCTTAGCAAATGAATAAAGCTCATAGAGTTGATGGATGAATATAGATCATGCTGCTGATACAAGGATCCTTGAAGGGCCGTCGTCATGTGCATTTGTCTATCGTGATTGCATATTTTGTTTAGCAAGTGGAGTGCCGCTCCTGTCTTGTGTTTTAGAAGGAATAGTTGTCTTTTTGCCATTGTTGAAGCTCTTTATGAGAGTGGGAAGACACATGAGTTAGTAATGCCGAAGATTACAGAGCATTCTCCCATATATAAGCAAGCTGTTACTAATCTAGAAAATCCATGTGCAACTTCGAAAAATTTGTTGTACAGAGGCCCTTTTTCTCCAATTATTTGGTATACTTATTCTAGGCTTATTGGTGAAATGAAGTAAAATTACTACTGATGATTTTAGAAAGGGTGCCACTTCTTTTTTTTCTTGTTAAATGCAATAGCTCCTCGTCTGCAAAATGGAACTTGAACTGTAGAGAACCGTTTTTCCAACTTAAATTATGTATCAGGATCACTAGTGGGCCTTTTAGTTTCTTTAATTAGGAATAAATGTTGTTTGCAGGTAATGTGAAAGCAGTTACAAATCTCAAGAGTCAGTGGAAATCTTCAAAAAAGATCAGTTTCTTAACGATTAATGATTATAGATTAGAGAAGAAAAGAAAGAAAAGTACCTTTTTATTGTGGAGAAATCAAGAAAAATTTAGTTTTTCTGCCATAAGTCGACTCATGCACAGGCATAAGTCGACTTATAGTAAGTCGACTTGTGTCTGTGCATGAGTCGACTTACGTTCTGCTCTGGAGTTGTGATTTTTCGCTCTGTCAAGTCGACTTGTGAAGCCTGTTAAGTCGACTTACAATCTGTCCTCCTGTTGCTGTTTTTCTCTCTGCCAAGTTGACATGTGAACTCTGTTAAGTCGACTTACGATAGGTTTTTAGCACAGTTTGGTTTACTATTTGGATTCTGTTTGGATTTCTGTTTGGATATAAACAGGGACACGATTTTCTAGGGTTTAAGAAAAAAGATATCAGAGACTTTGAGAGGCAATTGAGCATTGTGAGAGGGAGATATTGTGAGCAAGTTGAGAGCTTTGGTTGAGGGTTAGTTTATGAGTTTTGTGAGATTATAACCCTTTGTACTCTCCTTCATTTAGTGAAATCTCTTCATCCTCTCTTTGTGGACGTATGTAAATTTCCGAACCACGTATATCTCTGTGTTTGGTTGGATTCGTCGTATTTAGATTGGATTGTGCTTGTGTATGGTTCTCTTCTTCTCCGTGATCACAGACTCGTTCGGTGTACGAGCACGCTTTCGCATAGGCTCGCAACAAGTGGTATCAGAGCTCAGATTTCAGATCTAGGGTTTTGGATTAGGTGGAGGAAGATTCAGCTGGAAGCTTAGTTCTTGGAGTTCTAGGCTTCGGTGGAGTTAGGGTTTGAAGTTGTCGTTGAAGATCTCGCTTTCCTCGTGTGGTTAGGAGTTCTATTTGGAATCCAATCTAGGGTTCAATTGGGTAACTTCTAAATTCCCTACCCCAAATTACCCTTCAACCAATATAAATATACCAAAGTTATCCCTTATAATCGTTATACAGAATTCATTGTCATCAGAAACCAAAAACCCAACTTACCGTCGGTTACGCCTGTCCTCCGGCAACCGGTTACGCTTCTCCTCAACCAACGCCATCCCACGATCTTAAGTCATCAATTTGCCAAAGATGAGTGGAATCGGTTAGGATCACAAAGGTATCTCCTTCTTCTTCACTCCGCTACACAAAACCCTAGCTCTACCTTGAATGTTCTCTCTTAATTCAACCCCAAACATTAGCGTTATTAATAATGGGGGAAACCGGCTCCGGAAAGTCTCGCTTGTCTATCGACCTCGCCTCTCACTTTGCCGGCGTCGAGGTCATCAACGCCGACTCGATGCAAGTCTACCAAGGCCTCGACGTCCTCACCAACAAAGTTCCTTTTTTGGAGCGTGACAATATATATTTCCCTTTCATAAAGAGAAAAAGGAAGAAGGAGATCAAGATCGAGAGAGCATCAATGATTTCTTCAGATTTGAATTCCTCTTCCTTCTACAATATCTGCTGCTATGCCCCTGGAGTTGCTGGTAACTCTCTCTCTCTCTCTATAAAAATTTTAGTTTTAACTGGAATCACATGCCAAACTAAGAAACCCACTTGTCAAAAATCAAATTTTGATGAGAGATATCATCTGTGTTTTTTTCATAGCATTAGGATTCATACTTGTTCAACACTTGGAGATGCAGATTAAAGAAAAGATCAAGTTCATCTTTTCTTGGAATTTTGTACTTTGTTTCATCTATCCACTCATATTTACATTTCTGAGATATCTTTAGGACTCTGTCACTGTAAATAAGTAACAAAGAATAGTTTTTTTTTACTTACCCCCTATTTGAAAATCTACCTTCTTTGATTTTTGCAGGTAATCTTTTTTTGCTTTTGTGCTCTTCGTCTCACCAATGTGAGTTCACCTTCACACGCTCTGAACTTGGTGATCACTATACACTGGAAAGTTTTTAATTTTTGCCCCAGTTCTCAAACTTTATGTTTGTTATTTTCAAACCCACATTCAGAAGAATTGTTATAATTCGATCCACCGAGCAGTTCTCATGATTGCCTATGTCTATGCTCTCTTGAACACCTTGATTTGCTTATGGTATGGGATTCCTTGTGTTTCCAATGGTGTGCTCTTGGTTCTGACCGTGAATTCGATTTGGGCTGTTTTCCAATTAGTTTATGTGACCATTTTCATTTTATTTACCGATTATATAAAAAAGGTACTATTCTATCTGATAATATGACTTATTTTAGAAACCCCCCTGAACTCTGAAGGTTGTTATGGATAACCTCCTCTGGTAAACACCCCCTCCCACCCCAAAACCACCACCACCACCAAAACGGTTTTAATTCGGGAACCCCGGAACTTCAGGAGTGTTGTAGATAACCCCCTAGAATTTATTTTATTCCACTAAATCCCAAGCTTTGAGGTGTTGCATAAGACCTTTCTGCACTTTTAACTTTTCTCAGCAGACCCTTACCCATAATTGACAAATATCTAAAACGTCTTTTAAGAGAGAGAAAATCATTAATTGAGGGATAGTGGGTACTGGGTACATTGTTCGTAAATGGCAACTGACTAAATTATGAGTTTCTCTCTCAAGAGCATTTTAGTTATTTTCTAAATATAAGTAGGGGACTGGTGATAAAAGTTTAAATTCAGGGGGAATTTGTGAGATATCCTGAAGTTCGGGGGCGTTTAGCAGAATAAAAGGTTCAAGGGGCCTTTCAACAACAACCCCAAACTTTTTTTGTGGGGGGCGGGGGGGTGTTCTCTGTAAAATTTTCCAAAATTTTGAGGGTTAGTACTTGATGAAATTCTACTTTTTGAATATGGTTGCAGCTGAAGATGTCAGGATTGCTTATGGCAATTTTTTTTGCTTTTATCCTCGCTATGTATTGTAGCTTGGAGTTTTTTGATCATAAGAGAGGGCAACTCTTTGTTGGTTATCTGAGTATTGCTTCTCTTATTTCAATGTTTGCATCGCCACTATCCATCATTGTAAGCGTTCTCCTACACATTGTACCTTTTTTAAAATTTCCTTTTAACTTCCAATGCATTGTTTTATTCATGTTAGAGATTGGTGATTCGGACGGAGAGTGTTGAATTCATGCCTTTCTACTTGACTCTTTCAACCTTCTTGATGAGTATCTCATTTTTCTCATATGGGGTGCTATTGGATGACCTCTTTATTTATGTAAGAATTTCTTTCACTTTTATTCAGAATTATCCATTTGAGAAACATATTTTAATTAACTTAAATTTTTTTTACAAGTTTATGTATGTTGCAGATTCCTAACGGGGCTGGATTGATCTTGGGGGTTATACAGTTTTTGTATTCCTATTACAGTAGGAGGTCCAGTGAAGATTCTAGATTGCCATTGCTTGTATCATAGAATGGTTCTGCCTATGATAAGGTTCTATATAAGATTCATCAATCTCGTGTTCTTTCATATATATATTTTTCTGTTTTGGTTATTTTTTTCAAATATAATTTGAAGAGAATCATTTGTTTATTGTTTATTGCTTATTGTTTCATAGAATAGAGTTGCCAAATGTGACTTGTATGTCATTTGTCTATTTCTAGCATTCAAATTTCTATCCTATGAAAACTTTGTCATGCCTTGGTTATGCACGGTTCATGCTCATCAAAGGTTGATAATAAGTCATATATTCATGTTAGAGAAGTGCTTAAAAGTCAATAGTTTGTTTAATGTTAGTTGATTAATTTGTTTGAATCAATGATTTAGTTCTACTTTAGCAGAACTGTTTCTATTGTCAAGAATAGAAATTACGATGTATATATGCAACTAACTAATCGATAAAGATGACGATGGTTACATGTGGAGAATGAGATAACCCTTTCCGTTTGCTGTCATATTCACATACTCATTTACAAGGTTGCGGCAGAATTTGTAGAACTATATAAATTGAGCAATTGAAATGTACTGGTTATAGAGGAAGTGAAGCAAATGCTTGCAAATGTTTTCCACAATAACATCCTTTGGTTATGGATTATGTACATCTAGACCAAATTTAATCAAGAGAGCTGACACTTTATTTAAAATATTAATTCACATAGTAGCATGAAGAGATTGTAGCAATTGTTCTTGTGTGAGGTGTAAAAGATGGTTTATTAACCCAATCAGTGTTGTGCTTTAATGTTTATTATTTCACTGTCTATCTCATGTCAAGATAAAGGGGGATTGCGGTAGATAACCAACAACGAGTGTAAAACTTAAGTTGAATCTATGTTAGGATATCGTTGTTTGACAGAAGGTTTCCTATAAGAAATTTTGTATATATATATCATTTTAATCTTAATACTAAAATTTGTTAGGCGACACTATGGACTACATCTTTTGATTAATCTTGTGAATCTTTTTTTGGTTTGCTAAGGATTTTTGCTTTTGGAGGATTGATTGACCTGGAAGCTTGCATGCGTTTGAATTATGATGATATTAGATCCTGAAGAGTGGCCTGCAGCTGGTCGGTGAGAAAAAGACTCGTACATCTGACTTGATTGTTGTGCTACTACTTTCCCTGTTGTTGGATCCTGAGGTGTCCTGGATCTCAATTGCACCTGGTTGCAATTCTACAGCCATTGATTTCTCCTGAGCAGAAGAGAGCATATTTACCATTCAGTGTAAAGTGTACTTGCGCTTGGTGTCAAGTTCACCAATTTTGAAGGGAAATAGTATGGAAGCTCGAGTATGTAACCTTGGCGTGCTTGACAACCTTTATAAAACTAGGCCAGGAGCAATCTGTGCTATGTGCTGACTTATTAGATTGTCTATATTGCAAAGAAAAAAAACATGAACCATTTTTAATTTTCAATACATATACAAATCTGTTGAAGGATTTTTAATGAACTTTTCATATGCTTTTAAGATGAAAAGTGATGAATGTTATTTGTTAGGGCAATTTATGAATTATAAGCATATGCACATATAGTTGTTTGATAATTATTGCATGCTTTGATTAATTATGCAGTTATTAGCTTTAATTTATCATTCAATTGTGTGAATCTAAATAAATATTCAGAGAATACTTGACTTTATTACTTTTAAAATGCATATGAACTATTGTTTTGTGATCTCGACTGCAAGCGAACTCTTGTTGATGATTCATTTGCAAGAAGAGATTTAGCTCGTGGACATATCCTCTCAGATTCTATTCAACAGGACAATGACACAACTTAGTTTATGTGCCTTGAGGACGGGTCTTATTGCAGAAGCGCATGGGTGCATGTCTGAAATTTATACATACGGTAGGGTTAAGAAGCTGCTTGCGCAAGGTGTATCTCAAAATTGGTATCCTGAAAAAAATCTTGAGCAGGTATGTGCCACATTTATTGCTAAATTTTTTTCATCCAACCTAATATAACTTATTTATCATAATAATGCCTCTTCCTTAGTAATGATCACAAGAGTTTGTTCAAATGGTAATATCCTTTAGCACGCACGCACGCATGCACGTGTGTTCTTCAATCCATGCCTTCAGCATGCCTTCAGCACTTCAGAAGATATTATTTGATTTTTTTTAAACGTCTTTACTTACAATCCTTCTGCAATAGTGATGACAATGTTTAATACTTCTCTTCAGGAAAATTTTTAGACAAAGCATCCCCAATTGCTATATGAGTCAAAGTTGTACAGAATCTTGCTAGGAGGAAGTATGGATTTTTTTAGCCTTTTGTTATGTCAGTTAGTTATTAGTGACATTTCTAAGTTGTGTTCTAATTTCTGGTCCTTTTCCTTTACTATGGCAGCTGGGATTCAAAATGTGAAGTGGTTTGGTGTTGAAGGAAACCATAATGTCGTTGTTATGGATTTACTGGGACTGGTCTTGAAGACCTTTTCAATTTCTGCAGTAGGAAGCTATCACTAAAGACTGTTCTTATGTTGGCTGATCAAACGGTAAGTTTTAAATGCATCAATTGCTTTTGATTCTAAGCATAGGTGGCTATAATTTCCTTATTTCTGGACTTTCTTTGAGAGATCAATCAGATTGAATTTTTTTTGTAAAATCATTTTGGCACAAGAGTATCAAACCAGACGATTTCCTAATGGGATTAGGCAGACGAGCAAATCAGGTAAATATAGTTTTGTAAAGTTAAAATACTATTCTGTTTCCTTTCGTTTGTGAGTAAAAGTATACACTTTTGAGTTTGACTATTTATTTTTTGGACTTTCATATAGGTTTACATTATAGATTTTGACCTTGCTAAGAAGTATAGGGATACTTCAAAGCACCAACACACCTTATAGGTATTGTAAATGTTTGATTGCAGATTTGTTCTTGTGCAAATATTTTACAATTAGAGATTGCAATTTATATTGTAAAATTTAATAGCATTTTAAAGCATTCAATTACAATATGTGTTTATTGCAAAGCAAAGTGGTCCTAAATGATTGTATAATATTTGTTCTAAATTTTCTATTAGTTATATTTCATTTCCCATTTCATGCAATTGGTAGAAAAAAATATATTTGGAACAATACAAAATTGCTTTCTGTGTTTTTTTGTATATTTTATGGATTGACTGTAGATTGCTACAAAAAAAAGCTTGTACATGTGCTTTTATGCAAGTGTTTGTTTACATAAATTCATGTGTTGCAGAGAGAATAAGAACTTGACTGGGACTGTGAGGTATGCAAGCATGAACGTCCAACTTGGTATAGGTATGTATTCTAATATTAATTTCTTAAAACACTTCCTAACATATTTTAGTTTTCTTTTACACCTTGCTGAGGTTGGCAGATACTTATCATATTTTATATGCTTGACTTATGTCCATTGGAATCTTAAGAACAAAACAGGAGGGATGATCTAGAATCTCTAGGATTTGTTCTCACATATTTTTTACGATGAAGGTCTGGTGTCTATCTCAACTTCATTTTTAATAGCCTTGTCCATAGTATGGTGTAATGAAAATTTATTTTTCTTGTTGTTTACCGTCTTCCTTGGCAAGGTCTAAAAGCTGGAACAAAGAATCAGAAATATGAAAAAATTAGTGAAACAAAAGTTACCACCGCTATTGAGGTAAGATCTAATTCACATAATGAAGTTGGGAGCCTTGACGACATCTTCTCTTACTTTTTTTAATAGTGACTAAATAGATATATTTTTTTAATCACGACAACATTGACATATTATCTTCAGGCATTATGCCGTGGATATCCTACATAATTTACATCCAACTTCCACTACTGTCGTTCACTACATTTTGACGACAAACCTGATTATTCATAACTTAAATGAATATTCCGTGAACTTTTTATTAATGAGGCTAAGCTATTCTGGTAACTCATATTGTTCATGTTGACGAGGAATTCTGCGTTGATGGCAGGTTTAGAATCTGTAATTCTCAAGCAAGATGTTGAATGATGTTGAATCTTAATCTACAGGATTTCTATTTGAATATGTGTTTGATTGGACCATATTGAAGTATCACCAATCACAAATTGCTAGCACTCCTCCATGACCTCTTGTAAGTCTGGCATATATAGGCTTATTAACTTCTTGCAGATAGGTTTTCATTTGTTTTGATTTCTTTTTCTCTATCATAGTAACACCTTGCTCATTTTTTATCTTCTATATAGGGTTCTGGAGCTGGACCTTGCTCATTTCTTTTTCTCTGCGTTGGCAACAAATCTTGGTAATGTCAATAGGCAATCTGATAGTTGATTTTGTTAACTGTTCCTTTGGGAGTTTGCTGTTAAGTTTGTTACATTTGTTTATGTCATAGAATACATCATGTTTCACTTTCTTTTTATTAAAAAAAATTCCTCCTTCATACTTGCTACGATACATGTTTTATCTATTTCCTAACCAAGTGCTTCTGTGCCACTCAGTTATTGTGTTTCATTAACATAATCATTGGTTCTTAGACCTAACATAGACAAAATGTGTATAATATCTTAATTTTTTATTAACTGCTGCCAAAAATACCTTTCCCAGACTAGCATTTACTAAATTTCATACTTGAAAACTTTAATTTAGGTGGTAATGAAGGGAGAACAAGTGGTTGGTTAGCAGACCCTTCTCGTCGCAGTGCATCGGGACAAGCCGTAAATGCAGGGAGCTTACTAAAAAAACGGGTAGCAAATGATTCAAAAGAGGCTTTGGTGAATCAATAGTTCTATATGTCATTGTTTTTAGCCTGTGATAATTCGGCTTCAGTGGATCTATGCGACATCTGAATTTCATTCTAATAGGAAACTTATTAAAACCCAATCTGAGAGTGAACTCTACAGGAAATATCAATTAAACCTGATCCATATCTGTAAATACAAATCTGATTCTTTTTAGTTATAGTTTCATGGTTTTTCGCCTTTGGTTTAATCTGCAATTGATTTTATCAAAGTTAGAACTGTTGTTTTAAGAGTATGATTCTTTGGTTCTTTTCCTTCTAAAAAATTCTTGCTCTTTACTATCTTCGCAATTTTTTAGAATCTTGCAATTTACTTTGATTCGATAAATTTCATAGACATGTAATCAGAAAATTTTACGCTCGTAATACGTATGAGTAGCTTACCGCTAGAAAGAAATTTGGTACCATTAAAGCTCAAAATATCCAATGATAAAGAGAGATATTTATAATATCTCTACTGTTTGTTGGATGACTATTAATTATTTTGAGAAGATAGAAATAAGTAGGACTAAAGAAAAAATTAATGCTACTATTTTAGTAGCATTTATATTGGATGATAATGATTAAATAGGTCGTCTATTGTCATCTATATATAGGTAGCATTGGTTGGTTAAAACTCAATGTTGTATATCAAATAAAATTCTTTTATAAAATTATTCATTATTTACTATTGTTAAGGATGCAAAAAATCTATTATCACCCGGTTAATACATAAATGTAATTTCATTATTCAATCCTTTTGAATTTTTAAATTCTATTTATTTGTTTGATATATGGTTTAAATTAAACAAATCTTAATGAAATGAATAACCAATAAATTAATAAATTAAAAAATCATCACGTGCATTGCACGTGCAATTATACTAGTTCTATAAAATTTGAATCTTTCTTTACAATTTGAAGTTTGTGATTATGGGTGAAGAAGTTGGTGAAAACAGCAAGATGGCGGGTACAGTTCAAGTTGGTTTTTAGAACACTAAGATTAGTATGGTGAAATATGACGGCAAAATTAATTTTGGTTTGTAGATGAGCGACATACATGATGCGCTCAATGCTCAAAATTTATAGGAGACCATCATGGTCGATGAGAGGCTACCTAAATATCAAGAGGCGATATGAGAAAAGATGAATAGAAACGCTTGTGGGGTGATTAGGTCTTGTTTGGAACAAGAGCTGAAATATGATGTGATTAGGATGACGTTTGCAACGAAGATGTGTGAAATTCTCAACAATAAGTAACTTATGAAGAGTGTTGAGAATCGTTTGCACTTGCTGTGAAGATTATTCAGATTTCAGATGTCCAGAGGCACCTCGCATGCGGCTCATGTGAACAACTACACTAAGTTATTGTCGGACTTGGCGAACGTGGATGAGAAGATCACGGATGAGTACAAGGCTATTATTCTTTTGGGCTCCTTACCAGATGAGGAGTATGATACCTTCGTGCTTACTTTGTTAAACGGGTGATCTTCTATCACTTATAGTGAAGTGACTAACGCATTGACGAACTACGATTTGAGGAGAAAGGATAAGGAGACTTCCCGCGCTAGTACTTCAGGAGAGGCCTTGTCGACGAGAGCTAAAAGCTCATATCCGAAAGGTGGAAATTGAGGAAGGTCAAAGTTAAGAGATCGTCACCAGCTAGGAAAGAACCAATGTGTATTCTCCAAGGAACAAGGGCATTAGAAAATAAATTGTCCAAAGGTCAAAGAGAAGGAGAATAATAAGAAAAAGGGCCCGAAGGCCAATGAGGTGAATGTTGCGAAAGGCGATGATTCGAGCTTTTCTCTTTTGATTACTCCGAAGGTGAACCATTTGGATGTATCAGATTGGATGCTTGATTCTGACGCTACTTATCATGTGGCCCCTAGGCAAGATTGGTTTGCATCATTTGAGAGACTTGATGGGGGGTGTTGTTGTCATGGGAAATGATCAATCCTGTGGTAGTTGTGGGATAGGTACCGTGCGGATTCGGATGCACGATGGAGTAGTCCGCGAATTAAAGGAGGTGAGATTCATTTCTCAGCTGAAGAATAATCTTATTTCTGTTAGAGCTTTGGAGACGAAGGGATTCAAGGTGACCTTTGAGGACGCTATAGCAAAGGTTACTAAGGGATCTTTAGTGGTGATGAAGGGAGTCCGCAATCGGAACTTATATTATCTGAAGGGGAGTACCGAGGTTGGCCAGGTTGCTTCAGCTATTTTAGAGGTAGACATGAGCAGACTTTGTCACTACAGGTTAGAGCACACAGGATAGAAGTCACTGCAGGCTTTGTGCAAGCATGAGCTATTGAAAAGAGCCAAGAGTGGAAAAGTAGATTTTTGTGAGCACTGTGTTCTAGGCAAGAAAACGAAGGTGAAGTTCGGGACTGCTATTCATAGGACGAGGGGCATCCTGGACTACTTGCACACAGATGTTTGGGGTCCTACCAAGACAGCATCACTTGGTGATCGACATTAGTTCGTCACGTTTGTTGATGACTATTCTAGACGTTATTGGATGTACACCATGAAGCCTAAGAATAAAGCCCTAGATTTATTTGTAGAGTGGAAGAAGAGATTAGAACTACAGACTGAGAGAAAGATCAAGACGTTACGATCCGACAACGGCTGCGAGTACACTTCAGACCCCTTTCAGCAGCTATGTCAAGATGAGGGCATAGAGAGACACTTCACAGTTAGTCATACACCGTAGCAGAATATGGTGGCAGAGAGGCTAAATCGGTCATTACTGAAGAAGGTCTGATGCTTATTGACGCATAGTGGTTTGGAGAAGATCTTTTGGGCTAAGGCACTTTTATATGTGAGCCAACTTATTAATAAGCTGCCTTCATCTGTAATTGAGGAAAAACCCCTATGGAGATGTGGTCAGGAGAGATAGCACATAACTATAACCAGCTCAAGGTATTTGGTTGCTCTAAATATTATCATGTTAGAACTGATAAGTTAGAACCTCGAGCTAGGAAGGCCATATTTATAGGATTCAAGCGTGGTATCAAGGGATACAAGCTTTAGGATTCAGTTGATAAGAAGATTGTGCTGAGTAGGGACATCATGTTCGATGAAGCTTCTATCTTGAAGCTTCCTAGCTCTCATCAGCTGGAGAGAAACCCGTCAGAGGAGACATCGCAGGTGGTGGAAATCGATACAGCTCCACAGTGTCCAGATGATGCAGTATCCATTAGAGTGCCGACTGAGGTGACGCCAAGCGAGCATAAAGATAACACGGAGGATACAGGTATTGATGTACAGGATCAGGGACTGACGGCTTAGGTTCAGGATTCTATTGCAGTTCGGAAATAGAGGAGAGACATACGGGTGCCAGCACGGTATGCCGACACAGTTACGTATGCACTTCCAGTGAAGAGTATCGATGAGATGGTACCTACTACATTCAGAGAGGCTGAGCAGAGTTCAGAGGCTGATTCGTGATAGGTAGCTATGCACGAGGAGATGGAGTCTCTTCATAAGAACGATACATGAGAGCTTGTTGAGCTTCCAAAGGGGCAGAAGGCGATTGGTTGCAAGTGGGTATACATGAAGAAGGGGGCATTGAGGGCACTCCATTGAGGTTCGAAGTTAGGTTTGTTGTGAAGGGCTATGCACAGGAGGAAGGTATTGACTATAATGAGGTTTTCTCTCCGGTGGTAAAGCACTCTTCAATTCGGATTTTGCTAGCTTTGGTGGCACAGTATGGATTAGAGTTAGATCAGTTAGATGTGAAGACCGTATTTCTTCATAGTGATCTTGATGAAGAAATATATATGACTTAGCCATTGGGATTCCGAGATGTAGGGAAGGGAAAGATAAGTTGGTTTGCAGATTAAAGAAATCGCTATACGATTTGAAGCAGTCTTCTCGACAGTGGTATAGGCGATTTGATGGTTTTATGCTTGGACATTCATACACTCAGAGCCAGTTTGATCCTTGCGTGTATTTTTACAAGTTAAGAGGAGATGCGTACATTTATTTATTGCTTTATGTCGATGACATATTGGTTGCCTCTACTTCCAGGTCGGCTATAGATGAGTTGAAAGTTCAGCTTTCAAATGAGTTTGAGATGAAGGACTTGGGTGCGACCAAATGTATTTTGGGAATGGAGATCAGCAGAGACAAGAAGAAGGGCAGAATTTGTTTGACATAGGTAGCTTATTTGAAGAAGGTTTTACAGTGATTTCATATTAGCATGGATACGAAGCCAGTTAGTGTACCATTGTTAGCCCATTTGAAGCTTTCAGCTGGTCTTTCACCGAAGTCAGTTGAAGATCGAGAGTTGATATCAAAGACTCCATATGCGAGCACGGTTGGGAGCTTGATGTACGCGATGGTATGTACGAGGCCAAATTTATCGTAGGCGGTGAGCATGGTTTCGACATACATGCACGATCCAGGAGTGGGTCATTGGGACGCCGTGAGATGGATTTTTAGGTACATTAGAGGTACGCTCAATGTTTGTTTGGTTTATGAGCGGGACACTATATGTGGGCAGCTATGCATTGGCTATGTTGACTCGGATTATGCCGGGGATTTGGATAAATGTCGGTCTACGATGGGGTATATGTTTACTTTAACCCGTGCGCTGGTGTGTTGGAGATGCACCTTACAGTCGATGGTGGATTTTTCTACGACAGAGGTAGAGTATATGGTGATTACAGAGGCTGTGAAGGAGGCTATTTGGCTTCTAGGAATTTTGGAAGAACTTGGTACATCACAGCGGTTCGTCACCATTCATTGTGATAGCATGAGTACTATCTATTTGGCAAAGAATTAGGTTTTTATGCGAGGACGAAGCACATTAATGTTATCACTTCGTTCGGGATGTTCTTGAAGATGGCGATGTGAAAATTGTGAAAATCCACAAAAAGGATAATCTGGCGGATATGCCCACTAAGGTGGTTCCGAGCAACAAGTTTGATCATTGCAGAAACTTGTTGCATATTCGAAATTGTTGAGGCCGTTGGCGGCCATTTGGAAGAACTACGAGCGGTTTGATCCCTTGGGAGAGGGGGTACGTAGGCAACCATTTTGGTGCAGCCGTATTTGGATAAACGACGCATTGGTGCTCTTTGTTTGATGTCGGCTCAGTTTTGAGCAAATTTCGCCGAGGTGGAGAATTGTGGAGAAATCAGGAAAATTTTAGTTTTTCTGTTACAAGTCGACTCATGCATAAGCACAAGTCGACTTATGCTAA